TATATATATACATATATATGTATATATATACATATACATATATATATAATTTCATAAAAAGGAAAAATAATGAAAATTTAATGCTTAATTAATTTAAATTTAATAGTTAATAAAAGTGATGATTAATTAAAGCTTTGTAATATGATTACCTATGTTTTTTATTGGCATCAATTTTATCACACTGGACGTAAAGACAAATTAATAGACATCAAGGTGATTATTCATATTTTTAATTATAGTAATAAATTTTTTTCTCAATTATTTTGCGGTTACACTTACGTATGTTTTATTCTGATTGCTTTTTTTTTTCTTTATCGATCATATTGTTATAAATTTTATAACCACTTACTCTCTTGCATTTGGTATTGCTTTATATAATATGCTTAATTGAATGCGATAAATATATTAATGATATGCTTTTGTAGACTACTTATATGTGCATGACTGACAATGATAGAATCACCCCTTGATGGTATTAGTGAAGGAACACTAATGTATTCGTGCATGTAAATGAAAAATAATATTTATATTGATGTGTTATATTTTATATAATTTTTAGACGGTGCTTTTATGATGATTGTTTAGATATAAAACGATATTGATATGCTATTTATATTATATGATTCATTGAAAGTGTTTATATTAATTTATTAAAAAACTTATCTGACATATATATTATTTTTCTTTTCTCGTGCATTATTGTAATTTAGGAGTATGAGTACTTACCGACTTATTAAGCTCACAGTTTTTTTTTAATATAACTTTTTAAATTAATTTAATTGATTAAAAGATGAATGATAGACAAAAAAATGTTATAGAAGATGCGAAAAACCAATAATGAGGTAAATGTATTTTTACTGTTTTAATTTAATTTAATTAGCGGATCTTTGATCTGTTAAATTGTAGCTAAGTATAAAAAAATTAATACCCACCATCCGACTATCTGTTCCCGTCTTGGTTAATTCCAAGCCTCAGACAGTGTTACGACAAAAGAGTTATCAAAGATCGATGTTTAAGATTAATAAATGAAATCTACATCAAAGAACCAATAAGATAATTATAAGTTTTAATAATCATAAAAGTTAAAGTCATAAGGTATTTAATAGAAATGTTATACATATATTTTTCCTATATTATATATATATATATATATATTATACTTTTGTGCTTATTTTTGTTTCAATCATACATATAAATATAAAATTACATAAAGAAGAAAAATAATGAAAATTTATTACTTAATGTAAATTTAATAGCTAATTAAAGTTTTATAATATGAATACCCAAGTTTTTTATACACATCAATTTTATCTCAATCGACGGTAAGACAAATTAATAGACATTAAGGTTAGTACTCTTATTTTTAATTTATAGTAATAAACTTTTTTTTCAATTATTTTGCAGTTAATGTCACTTAGATATGCTTTATTCTGATTGAGATATTTTTTTATTTATCGGTCATATTGTTATAAATATTATAACTACTTACTCTCATCCATTTGGTGTATGCTTTATATAGTATGTTAAATTCAATGCAGTAAATACATGAATGATATGTTTTTTGCAGACCACTTGTAGATGCATGACTGACTATGATATGGTCACCCTTTGATAATACTACTGAGGGAATACTGAGGTATCCATGCATATAAATGAAAATTGATATTTATATTGATGTGTTATAATTTATATAATTTTTAGACGGTGTTTCTATGATGGTTGTATAGAGATAAAACGATATTGATATGCTATTGATATTGTAAGATTCATTGAATAA